TATTCTGATATTAAAGAAAATAACAAAAAATGTATTCTTTCATTGAAGGCATGGGAAAAAAGAGAGTAAAAGAAAAAAAAAAAGGGGGAACTAGCTGAGGCAGGATTCGGGGTGGTCCAATAAAATGCCTGCTGTGATGTAGCCACCTGCTCCTGTGAGGCAAACTAAAGCACACCAGTAGTAGTGCTTATTGGCTGTGGCCAGTGCTCATCCCTGCTGGAAGCTGCATTGCTGACTGATGGTCCCTGGTGGAAGCAGTTCTCAGACCAGCGAGCAGGGAAGTTACAGAGTAGTGCCTTCTTCAGCATTACAGAAAAATCTCTGCTTTTTGAAGTAAAAGGAACTTGTTCCCTTGATGTGATGTCAGGCAAGCTTTGCCTGCAGTCATGATCACAGTAGCAGCTGCTGAATAGAACAAAATGTCAAACTGATCAGTAAATAATTATATTAAAAATTCGAGGAATACTTAACTGAACAATGGACTAAATGAAATGTTTGTGATAAATATGTATCATAAGACAACTCCACCTGATGCTAATCAGCAGAGAGTAGTTAAGGCAGTGCTAGGGAAAGCTAGATTTTTTTTTCTGTGGCTAGTGCAAAGGGCTGCTGAGTGGGTATACTAAAAGAAGTTAGACAATAATTATTCAAGATGAACTGAAAAGCTGTCAGTGTAATTCAGCTTCACTTGCTCTAGAAGAACTTCTAGAGGGAGATAGATATGCTTATATATCATTCAAATTGTCTCATATGTCTTTAGAGAGAAATTTCATTTTTGGAAGTATGAACTGATTGTTAGGGTTAGAGGCAAAGAAGCATCTGAAACATTTCTGCTGTGTTGGAGAGCTGTGTGCACAAAGGGAGTGTGGATGTGCACATTAACTTTTAATAAGCTTGGAAATCATTGACATGCAAACAGCTCTTATTCCAGCCAGAGCCTGTACTTGCATTAGAGGCATATTATGTTGTGGTACAATCATGAGATATCTCTGTTGCACTAAGTGATACCATATTACCCCATATATCACAAGAATTTACTTGATATCAGGCCATGGCTATGGGCCAGAATTGTTCAGCAGATCACTCCAAGAGTGCTAAGACTGAGTCCTGGGCAAAAAATGTTGATGTGTGATAGTGCATTATGACCTGTGTTTGACTCTTAACTGTTTGTGAATGTAAAGATATAGAAGAAGACTGTGTCTAGGACTCCCTGACTTCCTCCATAATTTAGCTCCCCTGGGAAGGACAGCAAGGGTTCAGCTTCAGCTCCATTCATACTGCAAAGTCAGGCAGACTGGAAGAAGTGGAGTAAACAGTCATTTCTATCTTTTGTTTGTATCAAATATTGTGAGAGAAGTTATTCCTACTGCAGCTCCAATCTGGCTCACCCGAGAAGTGCTAGAAATCTTTAACCAATCTGTTGTAGAGTTGTCAACACTGGCTTCTCATTGCATTTGATAACCCAACAGGAATAAAAAACATTAGCAGCTCAGATTACTAATGGAAAGTCAGTCTTCTCTAAACCCCTTCCTGGGACTGACCTGGCCACCAGCCTAGTGAACTCTGGATTCTCATTCCCTCTGAATCCCAAAACTATTTTGGCATCTCTCCCTCCCAATTTGGTTACACTTTTCCTCTGTCACCCTGACCAACTCTTGTAGGGCTTACATGCTGTCCTGCTCTGCTTTGAGATCTAATGGGCCGTGATCTGGTAGAGTCCTGTGGAGAAGAGGCAGCATTTTGGGGCATGGAACATCCTCCTGCAGGCAGGCAAGCAGGCCTGGGATGTTCTGTGTGTACCTGCCTAAGCCTCTCTGCCTCCTCCCACCATGCTCCCAAACCAGAGAACCCAGCTAAGTAATTCTTAAAACAGTTGTTGAACTGACAACTAAAAGCCTGATAATTGGTTAACAAGCTCTGCTTTTATATTCACCCACCTAACCTCGGGGCAAGAGGTGTCAAGTTAGCTGTACCTTACAGCAAATTCCAGAATAAACCTGGCAAAAAAGGCTGAATAGGGAGTTCAAAGAGAGGCTGGAGTGTGAGCTGTCATGAGAGTTAACAGATGTGTCTGTACAAGCCTAGCTATTCTTTATCACCACTGTTTCCTGCAAGAGATCCTTTGGTTTCCATTCTGTTATTTGTGGTGTTCATGCTAGCACATATAATCCAATTCAGGGATAACACACTTGCTGCATATGGTTTCTAAATTTGTTTCTTGTTTTGCTGCAATTAAAACATACAGGGCTTTGAAAAAGTGAAGGAAGTCTCTTAGTATATACCCCAGTATGTGGCAGATAGGAATGGGACCCTTAGTAATACAATTATAATTCAGATAACTGTGAACACAGGCCACTAGGAAAGATCACAATTAGATTCAGGTGGTATTCAAATTATACAAAACATTTCAAATAATTGTAAGACTAGGACGTATTGGAACGATTACATTTCCATGCCTTTAAGGTATAAAGAACTATGACTATCATTGAAATTCATTTTAAAATTAATGTTTAAGGTAAAACCTAGGCATAAAAGGAACTATGACTATCATTGAAATTCATGATGAAGTTCATGTTAAAATTCATGTTTAAGATACAACCTAAGCATAACTTAATTATGTCAAGTATAAGCTCTAAATCTGAACATTCAGCATGGGAATAAAACCAGAAAAGCATTTATCTCTTTTTTTTTTTTCTTCCACTCTCCTTTATGCAACATCAGCTTCAAAAAACTATGACTGAGCCACTCAGCCAGTCAGGAAGCTAAGTACACAAGAAGTGGCAGGAAAAAAGACAGAACATCTTGTGGCAGCATGTACCAGGAGTTTTGGCTGCTGTTCTGCTGAGGTGGGCTGAGTGGACATTGCAATGCAGCTGGCCAAAGCACAGGCAAAACATCTGGAAAAGACACTTTTGGAAGGGTAAGGTAATAGTGCTGGAAGCCCTGATATACCAGAATTTGCCAGCAATTTTCTTGCAGATCTTGACCCAGATCTGTGGGAACCTTGAAATAATGAATGCAAACATTTGTGGTTTGTGGGTTGGGTTGAGAGAATTCAAACAACTTACAGAGTTTGACATGAAAAGTAACTTCAGTATTTCTTTAAGAATGGGTACTTTATCATGTACAATTTCTTTCCTAAAAATGCTGTATGCTATATTCCAGAATAAAAAATACCATTACTTTTTGAAAGGGATGAATTTACCTAGGGTGAAGCTTGGCCCCATGCTGACAAAATGTGTACATTTGGCCTGTTGGCAGGTCTCTAGGACAGAATGTGCAGCGAGAAAAGTACTCAACACTGAGAAGGGAATGACTGTAATTCACTTGTAGATGGAAAAAAATATACGTATGGCTCAAAAATAACATGTAAATGCAGACTTAAGACTTAGAGAGGAAGAGTTTAGGAAAAGCATGTGACAACCTTAAGTATAATTCAATCTCAGGAGGCATTAATGAATGGCATAGAAGCCTGTAGCAAATTTAAATGCTGACCACAGTAACTTCAGACTGGTTAGAAACTATTTTAATTTTTTTAAAAGCTTTTCAGGGAGGTATTTTAAAGCTTTAAGCACATAATTTAAACCAGAAATTACTTCCCTAACTGTCCCAGATAATTTTCTTCTCAACAGGGTATAGATACCACTGCTTCAATGATTGATCTTGAAAAAACCCAATTTCTTCATTTTGGGTTTTTATTTTTTCCTTCAAAAGTTCCATTTTCCCCCTATTTAGATTTTTCAGGGGGGAGAAGTGAAAGAATTTTATTTTACTGAGGCCCAAGAAATCTGACAGCCTGTCCTGCAGGTGGAGGTTGTCACAGAATCCATGAGATTGGAAAATCCGACATATGACTGAACACCACCGTGTCAACTAAATTATAGTATCAAATGTCATCTTCAGTCTTTCCTTAAGCACCTCAGGGACGGCGATTCCCTCCACCACCTTCCCTGGGCACCTCAGTCCCATGTCTAAACACCCTTTCTATGGAGGAATGCCTTCTGATGTCCAACCCAAACCTCCCCTGGGGTAGCTTAAGACTTTATCCTCTCGTCCTGCCACTGCTTATCTGAGGGAAAAAGCCACCCTCTACCTGGCTACAACCTCCTTTCAGGGACTTGTAGAGAACACCAAGGACCCTCCCGAGCCTCCTTTTCTCCAGGCTAAACAACTCCAGCTCCCCCGGCCACTCCTCATAGGACTTGTGCTCCAGACCCTTCTCCGGCTGTGTTGCCCTTCCCTGGACGCGCTGGAGCCCCGCAATGTCCAGTCGGGCGGCCCTGGCCCTCCCGCCGTGCGAGCACAGCCCAGGCTGGGGCCGGCCCGGCGCGCCGCTCCGCCGGCAGGGCGCTCCCGGGCCGAGGCGGGTGGGTGGCGGGGGCCGGCCTGCCCGGCAGCCCAACCCGCCCGCGGCTCCCGGCGAAGGCAGCGCGGCCCCAGCGCCCCGCGCCTGGCGGAGCCGCGGCCGGAGGGAATCCAGTCCGGGTTTTGGCGCCGGGGACCGGCGGCGGCGAGGAAGGGCGAGCGGGAGGGGACCGCGCGCTGCGCCCGACAGCCGGGCCGGGCCGGGCCGGGCGGACAGCCGGCGGAGAAGGAGGGCGCCGGGAGCAGGTGGGCGAGCGGCGGGGCGGCCACGCCGCCTGCGGGCCCGCCTGGCCGCGGTCGCGGGCCCCCATGGCCGCGGCGCGCCCGCCGCACACACCCACCGCCGCCCCCCGGTGAGCGCCGCCGCCGCCGCCCCTTGGGCACCTCGGCGGGGCCGCTGCCCGCGGTCGGGGCTGTGCGCGGCGGGAGGCGGCCGGGCCGGGCCGGCCGGGCGGAGGCACCATGCAGGCGCGGCGCTTGGCCAAGCGCTCCAGCATGGGCAGCCGGCGGCTGAGCGCGGCGGCGCCGCAGGTGGACGCGGTCCGGCCCCCCAAGCCCGAGAGCGCCTGGAGGCCGCCCCGGCGGGAGGGCTCCGCTGCGGCGCTGGAGGAAGAGGACGAAGACGAGGACGTGGTGGTTGAGGTGGAGGAGGAAGAGGAGGAGGAGGAGGGCGGCCTGGGGAGCGCCCCCCCGGCACTGGCCGGCCACGGCAAGGGCCCCCTCCGGGGGAGCCTTAAGGTGCGTCCCGGGAGGGAGCGGGGCGGGGGCGGTCGAGGGGCCCGGGCCGGCGAGCGGGGCCGGTGAGGCGGGCCGGGCCGGGCCGGCGAGCGCCGGGGGCGGCCTGGGGCCGGCGGCGGGGCTGAGAGCGGGCTGGCACCGGGAGGCTGCGGGGGACTCCCACGCCGGGCGGGCCGGCCGGCCCTCCGCAAGTCCCAGGCGAAGCGGGCGGCGGGGGCGGCTGGCTAAAAGCGGGCGGGGGGCGTGGGGAGCCAGCGGGGTCTGAAGGAGTTTGAGCACTGGGAGTGCAGAGTTGGCTGGGTGAGGCGTGCGGCTGGCCGGGGTTGCAGAAGGATGTTCAGCCCGGCCGTGTGCGCGGAGGTGTTCGCAGAACTGTGCCTGCGGGGCGGGCGAGCTGCCGGGGCCCGACAGGGATCCTGCGAACGCGGGTGGCCGTGGCCAGGAGGCCTGGGTGGGAGACCTGTGGAAAGTTTAGGAATGCAGCCCTTTTGTGCAGAGGCCCGATTCAAATCCCATCGAAGCGTGCGCGGGCAGTGCGCTGAAATCGGTGCGGTTTGGAACAACCTGATGAACACACCCACTGGCTGAGATCCCGCAGATTTAGGCTTAATGATTTTATTATGAGGCATTTTCTGTAATTATTTTTTCCTTGGGATAACCAGGGTAGTAGGATTAAGTCTATGTATAGTAGTAGTATAGAGGATTCGTGTGATAGATGTGCACTGGTTATGGAAAATAAATGTATATGAAAGTTCAAAGGGTACCCCTTTTAATTGATTTTTATTTTTTCCAATCTAGGTAATAATTCTTATTTAATAAGAGTTCAGGGTTGGATAGTTAGGAGTGCTGTATTACCACTGGGGTCTTTCCTGTATCCACAGACGAGGAGAAGAAGAAGGAAACAAATCCAAAACAAACAGTACAGAAAAGAAAATAGCAGCAGAAATGCACATTATTCCCATATTACTTCAGAGCAGTTTTGTTACAGCACTGAGAGAATCAGTGAGACTGTAGCTCTTCACTGAGTCTGTCAAATGCCATGAGTTGTGGTTATGGTGTCTGGGTCAGACCATCAATGGTACTGAGGCCTGACAGGCTGAAACAACTTTTTTGCTACAGAACCATCACTTGACACTTGAGTGGTAGCCTTAGGATGAAGAGCACCATAATGGGCTTCTGGTCCCTTCATTCTCCCCTTAGTAATGAAGGTCTTAAGTGGTAGAGGAGGCTTAGAGGAGTTTCCTGGGTGTACCTAATAGGAAAAAGGAGTGAAATTCTCAAGTGGAGCACAATGAACTGAAATAGAACAGGATTACATAGGTATAATCTGCATATAACATGGGAGTGTACTGTCCTCTTTGTCAACCCTCAACATGCTTTCAAGTAGCAGGACTGTTAGAGGTTGCTGGTATTTCTGCCTCACACCTAGGAGTATGCATACATACCAAAATACTGTGTTTGCATGTATTTACTTCCTGAATAGTAAAACTACTTCAGAGGTGAGATTAGTGTAGTAATGCCTGTTAGGCTACATTTAGTGTACATAATAAACTGTCAAGTCGCCGTTGATAACCAGGTGCACATATTTACCCTCTGGAGGAATGTTTCTAACTGTCATTACCTCGGTTTCTGCTTTCTCTGTTTGTACTTTTGAGTGTTATAAACTGGGAGGGCTTAAAATTTAACATTGTAAATAAATTACCTTTGGTTTCTGTGTGTATTTCTTTAGAGATTGTGAGTGTGGGAGTTCTCAAAGCTTAATGGGAGGGTTCTTCCAAGTAATTTTAAAGCAACAGATTAAACTTCTCTGCCTTTGGCATTGTATTTGTGAGTGCTTTTAAGCCTGAAGTGACTGAATGTAAAAGTGCTTCCCAAAAGTAGCTCTGGCCATGTGGCCCTGAGTGTGTTAGAAGGTGGGTTTTCCAAGCAGCTTGTGTTTCTGTTAATGGGAGAATCAGGCATAAATTGAATACTGAGGTCCAACTGCAAGGCCCTGGGAGGGTAATAGAACTGGTGCAGTCTGGTTATGGTTTGTCAGCTGTAATTCCTTCCAAATGGAGAGGTGGCATGGAGTCAGCAGCATCTGACTCCCAGACACAGACTTCTGTATTGGGGACTGGGAGCAAAGTATATTGAAGGGGTGTCCACTCCTGAGAGATGGCATAAATTGTTGCATTGACCAATACCTTCATAATAAGAGACATCCTAAAGAGCTTCAGAATTTATCTGGACTTGAAAGCAAAGTGATCTGGGTTTTGCATGGTGTGCTATCTGGATAATGCAGTTAAGAAGCATCAAACAGTGTTCTGGTGTGTATTCACATGCACACTTGATGTCTGTGCCCTTGGGTGAAATGGCACTTCAAAGCTGCAGGTTTTGGGGGCTTGTGACAGTCACTTCTGTGGACTCCCTGTGATACATGGATGAAAGCATCATAGGGTCAGCAGTGGAATTAATATTATTAAAAGGTGCCTGAGAATTTGGTCCACTAGTCAAAATCAGCAAAGTACTGGCACTATCAGGTCTTAGAGCCATATTCTCTGCTCCAGAAAGAAGTCCACTCTGTGGCTGTGCCTTTGGTAGTCTAGTTTTGACCCTCACTCTTAAGCAAGGGGATAGAGAGGATGAAGTACTTTAAAAAGATAAATATTATTTCTCCATTTTCTGAAGTCGTGGGAAGAGAGAACATATATGACAAAAAAGACAAGACTGGTGGTCATGGGGAAGATACAAAAATTGTGTCTGTATGTTGCTGTAGCTGTGTAGCAGTCCAGGAGGAGAACACTGGAGAACGTCTTTGTTGCCTGTTCTCCCCTGCTGTGCTACCATGCTGGAAGAGGCACGAGTTTGCTGTGTGTTGTTGGTGGGTCATGGCAGAATAGCCAGAGAGTCTTGGAGAGCCTGTAAAGCCTTGTTGAGAAGTGCTGTGGCTTCTTACTTAGTCAGAACTAGTTCATTAATCTCTGTATGGAAACGAATTACACCAAGGTGCTGATTATGCAGACTCATTTTGCACATGAAACCCTTTTTGTGCAGCCCGTATTTGCTTTGGCTGCATTTGGATTTTCAGCCATTTAAAATGAGATGAAAAAGTATAAATAGTGTAATTGCTAGTAGTTTGTCTTGAAGCGTGGGTTATTTTGCAGTCCTGTTTAATTCATCTTTAGTATGCAGCCTAGTTCAGATAGCACAGCCACAGTAGTACCAGGCTGGGGTTGATGTAGTCTGTGGAAACTGTTGAGTTTGATGATGGGGAAAGGAGTTTTGAAGTAGGGTCCATCGGCAATCTCCAATGATGACTTTATCATATACTTAGAAGAAAACCCCACTGCAAGTAGCAGAATTATGCTAATTTGTCTGTAAACCATCAGGGTACTATGATTGAGAGTGTGGGCTAGTAGTGAACATGGGCCTGTGATAACATGCCAGCATGTTGCAATGTTTTCTCTGCTGTTATGAATAGTACAGGGGTTGGTGCTTTCTTCTGTTCAGCTCAGTGAAGTTGTCAGTTTACTTCCAGCCCAGTTTCTGTTCCCAGGCTGAGAGTATGGACATAGGACATTGCTAATCCATCTGACTGTGGATGCTGCACCTATTCCTCACCCATGGAACTACCTGTTCCAGATACTGGCTTGTTTGTGAACGCCTCTTCGTAGTTCAGAAGGATGAGTTTCCCACCAGTGGATTTGGTCCTGCAAATACATAGGTCCCCAAATGATGGAAAATGATGTTATGAAGAGTCTGAAAACCAAAGGCCCAGAGAGCTGTGCAGTGATGGTAGGGGAATACAAAAGCCCAAGCAGTGTAAGCGAGACTTTAACTTCATGCTTACACTTTAACATTGGGCTTAGTTTCACCCACCTTGTGAAGTGAAAGGTGCAGAGTAAGGGGCATGTACAAGTCTAATCCAGAGGTTTCAGAGTGGAGATGGCACACATTGGTAGGAGTTAATGAAAAATTATACCTTTGGACACAGTTTTTGTGGTTTGTTGTGTTTTGGGTTGGTTTTTTCACCCTTTTTTTTTTGTTTGTTTGTTTTTTAAAGATAAAGACATCTGTGTGATATATGGGATGCCGAAGATATATGGGATGCACATCTTTAGAGCTTGTGTGGAAGAAATCAGTTGCCTTTTAGTTATGTGTTGTTCAACTGTGTTGAATTCACTCTCTTCTCTTTTCCTCCTTCTTTCTAAAGCCAGTGTGAATTCATCGCTGTCGTTAAATCAGACTTTCAGTTTTGCTGTTTGAATGGGCTATATACTCATTGTGCACAAAAAGTGGGTTTTCCTGCTTGATTAGCAGGTGTTATTTAATTTAGCTTTCATGTGTGTGTGTAAATGTATTTTCAGAGGCAATTTGCAAAATACAAGCTTCAAATACCAGATTTGCTTAGTGGAGGATAGACCTTGCAAGACACATTAGGAACTTAAAAAAAATAAAATGTTCCTTTTCAGACTAATAATGATAATGTTATTTTTGTAAATACTGCTAGTTATTAGAACACCAGAACTCATGTCCTGAACTTGGAGCCTGTTAGGCTAGGCTGTGTACAAACTCAGAACAAGCATGATCCTGGTCTGTCCAGTTCTACAAAGAGTAACACAAGATATGAATGGACACTGATGGACTGTGAGGAACAGCTAAAGGGTGAGATGAGAGAGGCAGATAAATACCAGCAGCTTAGCCATAATTTTGTAAGTAGATAAAGTTAATTAATTTTTAAATTTCAAACTTCATTTGGCTGCTTCTTGTTCTTGAGTGAAAACCTGTCTAGTGAAGTTGGTGTGGAAAATTCATGGCTAGACTTGGGATTTTTTTTCTTTCCTTCCTTTTGAAAAGTTTTAAAAGTTTATACATAATATGGATTACTGGAGGCAGAGATGGAGGAGGTGAGAAAATAAGATAGTTTTTTTTGTCCACGCTCCCCTAATAAAGAATGAATGGGACTAATTTGCTGGGGTTTTTTTAATGTAATTTTGTTGTTGTTTGGACACAAACCA